GTTGTTTTAGTTAATTTGATAACAATTTGTTTGAATCGATTATATCAATTTTTTGAAAATTGAATAATTAAACAAGATTGAATTTGAAGCATGCCACAGCCTTCATTCAAACTGTTGAAAATGCTCCTAGCAAAACACAAAACTGATGGAACGTTTTCTTTTTTCGTATAGGGTTGTTTTTCGAAAAGTTTGACTGAGGCGAAAATTTCAGGCAAGTTTAAAACTCGTTTCAACGATTGTTTTTTTTTTTTAAAAAAACGATATGCTTGACTCAAACAGAATGTTGTCAGAATAAATGAAAATTTATTAAATCGGGGACACATAAAAAAAAATTTAAAAAAAAAACAAAAATCAATTTTCGGCTGGATAATGAACAATTATGAAAAAAGAAAGTTTTAAAAAATCATGGAAGCACTAAAATTAATACAAAGATTGTTTGAACTACAACCAATTCGAGAATTAATGTATTTTATTTCCTGGCTAAATTAACGAAAAAATTTATACGTAAAACTGAAAAGATGGCAACGGAGTAGATAAAAAAGGTTTCTGTCAATTTGTTAAAGTATAACCATTACTTCTCATGATGAATTCAACTTAATCATATAGAATCTGTAAAACACTGAGAATGAAATCAGAAACACAATAAGAATTGATACATTATTTGGAAAAACCAAAAAAAAAATTGAAAATTTTGTGCAAGCGAAGCAAATGAAATTCTTGTTAATTCAATAAGGAAAAAGATTTAGTTGAATTCATTTTTCTCAAAACTGATAAATGTGCAACCTTCTGATCATATTTTTAAAATTTTCCGAAATTCTTTTACTTTTGAGTTCCAGATTGGCTATCGCTTCAATTAATCTGGTAACTTTTTTTTTTAATAAAACTCATCGTTAATTTTCAAAAATGAGTAGTTGAACAAAATTAAGGTTGAAACATGGCACAGTCTTCATTCAAACTGTTTTAAAACGCTCGTAACAAAAAACCAATTTTTAAGAATTTTTTTTTGTTAAAAGTTTTTTTGCATTGTTTGAGTGAGGCGATGAACTAGGCGAGTTTAATCCTCGTTTTGATTCAACAAAAATTGTTTAAAAATTTGATATACTTGATTCAAACAACTTTTTGTCAGAATAACTGATTAATTTTCTGACCTGGGACCAAAAATGAAACAACAACCAGAGAAGAAGGCTGGACAAGGATCACTAATGAAAAAAAACGAGAAATTCTGAGAACACCTAGAAGTGAAAACAAAGAGTGTTTTGACTACCTAGAGAAAAGATTCAAGCATTTTAGTTTCTTGGCTAATTTAATGGAGAAATGAATCAGCAAAAGTGAATGAGAAGGCAATGGAATAGATAAACTAGGTATCTGCCAATTTGCCAAACTATAACCATTGCTTTTCATATTCAATTCAACTTAATCAAGTGGAATTTGTAATACTCGGGGTACGAAAAAAGAAACTCAATCAGAATTGATACAAATTTGGAAAAACCAAAAGGAAACGAGAATTGATTTCCTGGCGCAACGAATCATACAAAGTTCGATAAAATCGAATTGTGATAAAGATTTGTTTTAGTTCATTTTATCCATAAATGATAATTGTCTAGCCTTTCAAACAGATTTCTGAAAATTATCGAAAATGTTTTAAATTTCGAGTCCCAAATTGGTCATTGTTTTAAATAATCTGGTATCAATTTATTTGAATCAAACTTATCAATCTTATAAAAAACTGAAAAGTTGAGAAAGGTTCAGTATGAATCATGCCACAACCTTCATTCAAACTGTTCAAATATGCTCGTAACAAAACACATATTTCTGGATTGTTTTGTTATTACAAGTTTTTTTTTGAAATGTTGGACTGAGGAACAAAATGAGGCCAGTCCAAGCCTCGTTTTGATTTAACAAATTTTTTTTACATTCAATATGCTTGATTCAAACATATTGCTGCCAAAATAATTGAAAATTTACCCAATCTGGGACCAAAAATTTGAAAAACAGTTTTCCGCTGATTTTCTGAAAAAAATCAGAGTGGAAGTCTATACCATGATCAATTATGAAATAAGAAAAAAGAAAAAAAAAAGAAAAAACCTGGGAGCAACAAAAAATGAATTCAAAGAGTACTTGATTATGCCGCGATTCGAAAGTTAATGTAATTTAGTTTCTTGGCTAAATAATTGGCAAACATTTTATGTAAAATTTGAAGCGAAGGCAACGGAATAGAGATACTAGGTAACTGCCAGTTTGTCAAAATATGATCATCACAGCTCAAGATGACTTCAACTTTATCATATGGGTTCTGGAAAACTCTGTGATTGAGATAGGAAACTCAGTCAGAATTGATACAATTTTAGGAAAAAAACCGGAAAGAAAAAAAGTGAAATTCTCATGCAACGAAATATTTGAAAATCAAGTGAAAGTCAAATTAGAGAAAAGATTCATTTTGGTTGATTTCATCAATAAATGTTAATAGTCTAGCCTTTCAATCAGAGTTTTAAAAATTATCAAGAAAAATCAATTTTATGTCCTCGATTGGCCATTGTTTTAATTAATTTGGAAACAAATTATTCGAACCAAACTTACTATTTTTTATAATTGAATAGTTGAACAAATTTGAGGTTGAAACATGCCTCAATTTTAATTCAAACTATTTGAAAACACTCGTTACGACTTTTGTAACAAAATTTTCGACACGTCTGACTTCGGTGAAGAGTGGGGCGAGTTTTGATTCAACGATTGTTGTTGGAAAACATTCGATAAGCTTGATTCAGACAACTTGTTGTCAGAATAGTTGACATTTTATCCGATCTGGGACCAAAAATTAAAAAATTGTTTCCGCTGATTTGCGAAACCTGGACACGTTTCAAAGGCTGGACAATGATCTATGGAATAAAAGAGAAATCATGAAAAAACCTAATAATAAATACAAAGAGTGGACTACCCCGTTTCGAATATTAAGGTGTTTTAGTAAAATTTATACGTAAAAGTCGAAGAGAAGGCAAAGGAATAGAGTAACTAGGTATCTGCCAATTTGTCAAACTATTACCATCACTTCTCATGGTAACTTCAACTTAATCATGTGAAATCTGTAAAACTTAGGGAACAAAATAACAAACTCAATCAGAATTTATACAAATTTAGGAAAAACCAGAAGGAAACAAAAATGAAATACTCGTAATATTCGAAATACTCGAAATATTTGAAATTCGAATAAAAGTCAAATTAGAGAAAAGATTTAAAACACCGTCTAGATGAAAAGAAAAGAAAAACTTTCACCTTCCCCGTTAGTCTTCTACAAAACTAAGGACCTGAACAGTGATCTCAAAGTAAAAATAACTATGAAAAACAATGAAAAAGAAAATAAGCAACCCCCCCCCCGCAACAAAATAAGCAAATTTGGGCGGGGGGGGGGGGGGGGGTGATTGGCCGCTTTCTTTTCCAGGGATTCGACCCCCTGCCGACCCAAAGGGTCCCCCTTTGTACTATTTTGAGATATCCATATTTGCTGACGGACCCTAAAAATTTTCTAAAGGCGCCTTTGGCGCCAATCTATACTAATTTTGAGGGGGGAGCGCACGCTTTTTTTGGCCTTTTTGTCAAAAGTTTGCCTGCGGCGCAGAAAATTTGGTTAAATTAGTGTCTTTATAGTGGTTTCGGAGAGCTCAGAAAATCAATTTACTCGACCAAAAAAAAGGTCGTTAAAAATTTCAATTTTTTTTTTGAAAATCCGCCCCCCCCCCCCTCGAGAAATTCCTAGATCCGCTCCTGGTCTGAGCAAATTTTACTAGATCATAAGAAAATAGAAAACAAAGTTAATGCTATTTTATTCAATTCATACAGTTTTGAATTTTTTCACAATTGTCAGAGAGCTTCTACGAAAAACACAAAAATAATTTAAAATGATAATAACGATTGCCTCTCGCTGTTCACGAAACTTTTTTTCAAGCTCAGTTATTGTCATTTTAACTGTGGGTTAATGAAACCGGCCAGTTTTAATTATTTGGATAGTTTCTCTTTGTTAAAATGTATAATTCAGCTCTACATGCAAGCACTGTTCGATTAATCGAAGACAATTTACAAGATGGTCCAGCACTGAAGCAAAATTTGTGAAATTTAGCTCTAAAAAACTTCTACTTTCAGTTAAAAACAACGCAAGCTGACTTCAAATTTAGTTGACTTCAAAATAAAGCAGCAGGCCTTGACATGATTATTTTGGGCGCTATTTTGAAGACGGGCTTCAAGATTTAGCAGAGAGTAATTTGATTATCTGTTTAGCGCGATTTTTATTCTTTTCATTAGCAAAATGTTCCTAGGGTATTGTTCGTTTAACCAGCGGATAATTTGTGACAGGTCGAGCTAATAAGCTTAATGAAAAAATTCCCCCGTTTTATAGTCGGGCAATTGCTTCGAACCAAATCTCGCCAAATTGAAGACGCGTCATTTGAACTCAGTCCAATTGAAGCCCCTAATCCATCTTGGGAAAAAAATTATACCTCCTTTCTATCAATATTTAAATTCAGAAAATTTTTTCTAGTTAAATAGTTACAAGAAAAAAGGGAAAAATATGGCAGCGGACTTTCATTTTATTGAGTCAATAATTTTATCAACACCCAGGCCAATTCGTTAATCAATCACTCGATCGAATTTGGCCGGCGGTCAAAAAGTGCCTTTTTAGAGAGATTTAAAATCACTGGAGTATAAATAAAACACAAATTGACTCAATCAGATAAGCGACGGCCGGTAAAGACATTTATTTCGCTAGAAAAAAATCCAGCCAAATCAAAATAAGAAATTTGAAAAAAAACTTGCTTTTATGTAAAAAAAGTTTCCTTGAAACCTTTTTCATTTTATCTCTTAAATTTTTCCTAAAACCTTTTTTCATTACTGAAATACGGTCATTACATTTGTAAGTTTGATTTTATTGAGCTGTGCGAATTTAATTCCATTTATCTGCTGATTGTTTAAAAGACAGGTATGAATATGTTAAGTGGATCCAATTAGCACTTAAAATAGAGCAATCTGATTGGCTAATACCAAACCTGATTGGTCAAATCAACTAACGGTTGTTCTTCATTTGTACTTCTTCAGTCATCCACTTGACTTTTCTGCCACTTTTTGGAAGTACATCAATTAAATATCATCTCTCTGTATAGCAGTTATATTATCATTCTTTTGGGTTGTTCTAACTGTTCGAATAGTTTTCTTTTGACAGTTCCATCGAAAATCTACAGAAAAAAACGAGGCTTAGGCCGGAAAAAAATAACTTAAACCACAAAACAAAGCTACGAGCTACTAAAATAGCTCAAAATTCACCAGAAACCGTTTTCCATTTGAATTTGAAAAAAAGACAATGACTTCGTTGAGTTTCGAACCGTCGCAACAGCAGTCACAGCCCATTTTATTATCCGAACAGCAGCAGTCAGATTCAACGACCGAGGAATCGACTCAGCCGAGTCAAAGCGAACAGCAGCCGATATATTCGATCAGTTCTATCCTGGGAACGAAATGGAACGAGACTTGTGTCCACCAAGAAAAGCATGACCAAAACAGCCCGTCTGAAAAGAAACACGTGACTAAAGAAAATGGTATAATTGCAAAAAAAAATCATTTTTTCTATTTTGAATCGCCGCATTCTAATAATTTTTGAGTGAAAACCAAAAATGGTCTTAAATTGGCGCATAAATAGTTTGAAACAAGTAAGTAAATGTTTGAAAATTTGTTTCAAATTATACTTAGCACTGCGGAGCAAATTCAGCCATCACACTTTTTATTCATCTTTCTTCTTAGTTTGGCTTTTAAGTATCAGTGACTTTATTTGCTCCGGAAAAATGAGTTATTTCTAATTAGAGGATACCACCTATATCTCAAAATGTTTCTCTAATTCTTTTTTTATTAGATTCATCATTCAAAAATCAATATTAATTTAATTCTACCATCATTTAAACCAATTTCAGCTTTGATCATGGCATATGCCACTGTTTGAATTTAATATAATTAAATGATTCCAATTTCAGCGATAGTTGACAAAGAGTTTCATCAAGAGTTGGGCAGTAAAATGCAATCCGACAAAAAACACCCACAAAACAATCTGTCACAATCCCAATTTGAAACTTTGAGCCAATCTTTATTCCAAAACAGTCCAGCAGCGAACGTCAACGAGTTCATGGTCCCAAAAGCACTTCAAATGACCCGAAGTTTCTCAAATTACGACCTCAAGTTAGCCTCATTGGAACAATCGGGACATAAAATCTCTCTTCAAGACGGAAAAGAATCCACGATTTCAAAGGAAAGAAACAAAGTTTTCCACTCAGCAACTGGAGTGAAAAATAAAAGTATGAGTCATCAAGATTTGGGTTTTCCGAGTGGAACCGGGGCTCGAATTAGAGTCAATAGTGATGGAGTCGCAAAAACGGATGATGTAATCAGTGATAAAGTTGACCCCGAAAATGAAGAAGAGTTGGATTGTGACGGGGAGGGGGAGGGTGACGGGGAGGATGGGGGAAAGAAACACAGGAGAAATAGGACAACGTTCACCACATATCAACTGCATGAGTTGGAGAGGGCTTTTGAGAAGTCTCACTACCCGGACGTGTACAGTAGGGAAGAACTGGCCTCCAGGGTCAACCTACCAGAGGTCAGAGTTCAGGTGGGTTATTTACAATTTTGAAACATTACAAATAACAACTCCTTGTTGAAGTGCTATAAGTTTTTCTCCTTGTTGAGCTATAACCACCCGGGTCGAGGTTTGCGATTATGTTTCTACCGGGTGGGTCGAACACAAGCCAGATTTTGACCAAAATCCATAGTCGAGAAGGCGCTATACTACATTTTCGAATTCGGTCGAGAAGTTTTCTTCGGTCGAAAATGGTCGATGAGGTTTGCCTCGGTCGAAATGTTTTTCCTCGTTCAATACTTTTTTCGTTGCTGGAAAAAATTTGAAACATAGATGAGTTGGGTCGAGACGGTCGAAAAATATCGAGCCTGGGTCGAAACGCTAACGCCAGTTCTTGAGCATTAGGCCTTAAAATTACAAAAAAGCACAAAAAACGCCATAATTTAACCAAAATTTTTGCGTCTGGCTGTTCCAACTTGCAAAAAAAAGCTAGGCTAAAAAAATAGCTAGGCTAGGCGTTGTTTTTTCCTCGCAAAAACTATATTTCTTAATTTACAATTTTTATAAATTTTTATTACCACCTAAAAATTGGTGATGCGTTGAGCTCAAAGTAAAAAAAAAAACAACTTGAAAATTGAATAAACGAAGCAAAGTTAAGAGAGTTTGAAAGTTGCCAATTTTGCCAATTTGGGAGAAACGATGCACGATTTTCCCAGTTTTCTATTAACGGTAGCTTAAGCAGCAATTTAATCCGATAAGAAAATCATTTAAATTTGATTTGAAGAGACAGCTGATTGATTTATCATTTCGATAATAAAAATTGGAAAGTCATTTTTTGTACTGGGCGTTGTGTATGTGGGAACAAAACAGTTGCAAAAAAGTTATTCGCGAAATATTTCTTTTTGCAAACTATTTCAGATACCTAAAAGAGCATTTGAAAAAATCAGGGTTTCACCGCGATACGCTGCTACGAGCAGTCCTTTTTTAGTTTTTGACAACAAATAGTTGTGCCAAAACTGTTAGATCGACTTATTTTGGATTATTAATGCGTGCAATTTTTTCCAGTTTTCTAGACGCAAAATTTTGAAGTTTGAAAAACTTTTCATTTCTTATGAAATTTTTATCAATTTTTTTAATATCGAAACTGTTTCACCCACCCCGAATTGCTATTGAAACATACAAGGATCCGTTTTGATACAAGGAAATTTATTATATAGCCACAAAACTAAAATTTTGAATTTGAATTACTTTACCAGCTACATATACAACGCCAAAAGCAATATATTATGTCCGGAGGGAGATCCTAAAGAGCAGTACTGCTCATCGAGTAGGATATCCTGGAGAGTAAAGAGAAGACAACCAGAATCAACTCAACATATATATTAATTTAAGGGCTGAAGTTAAAAAACAGTTTATAGAGGTCCTGATTGTCGTTTAGGTAAAATTGGACCAAAATAACAAATCAACTTGCAGACCTTACGGTTTGAACTAGTCATTTTTCTAGGGGGGGGGGGGGGGGAGGGGAGGGAGACTGTTCACTTAGTCTATTAAGATGAGAGATTGTTCACTTAGTCTTTCAGATAAGGAGATTGCTCATATAGACCGTAAAACTTGTGACGATAGACGACTGAACTTCATTGTAAAAAATTTTTATTTTTGATAATTAGGTGATTTTTGTCGAAAATAAAAAAAGCTGTCGTTTTTTGCCATGATCTGTCTTTGTTGAATTGATGGCCTAGAAAAAAAGATAAATTCATTTCTCTGCTCGCAGAAAGGTGCTCACAGTGCCACACTGCGCGTTTATATACAGATAAAATTTTTGTTATAATTAATTAATTGTGCTTTCTGCGATTCGCAGAGGATCTAAGGCTATCCAGACTGTCTAAGCATAATCCGTTTCTCTTATATTCATACAATTTGAAAATTTCAATTTTTCTGATACAATTTCTATGAAGCGCACGCATATCAAAGAGACATGTGGGTTTTTGGAACAAATGTGATATAAAAGGGTCCCATTAAAAAGCGAGTATGACAGAAGGGTCCCAAATCAAGCTAATTCTGAACAAAATAGCTCTTAAATAATGGAATTATGGCGCTCCGGTAGTGATGATGCTCATCATTCATGTGATTGCTGGTTCAAATCGCACGTTTACAAGATGAGTTTGTGTAAATAAGTCTTAGCTTACAATGGGCGTTGGTTATATGCGCTCTTCGTTGCAATTTACTAGATGAGTTTGTGTAAAAAAGTCATAGCTTACTATGGGCGCTGGTTATATGCGCTCTTCGTCAACCTAAATAATTAACCTTCGGGTTAGGCCTTCATGCTGGTTGACTAATAGAAAAACAAATGGACTCAGCTCGATTGTTTTCAGATTTTTCTCAAAGGTAGACAAACTGCCTGCTTTAATTGCCGGCCATCACCTAGCCAAACAGTTGAACAATTTTGAAACACTATATTTACATTAGGGACCATGTTAGTTTCATGGAACCCCTTAATAATATTTGTACTTTTTTAAATGAAAGGAATTCATTTTATGATCTTACAATACAACCATCAATTTGATAATCCAAATTCTTCTAGCAATAACCAGATACATTTCGAGGCAGGGGCGGATCTAGGATTTTTTCGAAGGGGCGGATTTTCAAAAAGTTTTTGAAAATTTTGACGACTTTTTTTTGGTCGTCCAAATTGATTTTCCGAGCTCCCCTAGAGCACTAAAAAGACGTTGCTGTGGCCAAATTCTCTGCACCGCAGGCAAATTTTTGAAAAACAAAAACAGATCATAAAATCCGTTTTCGGGCACTTCCCCCCTCGCCCCTCCCAAGCCCCCCCCCCCCTTAAATCCGCCCCTGTTTTGAGGTATTTCTAATTGTGCTGCTCTACAAACAAACATTTTAGACAAACTCTTAAAAATGCGTTTTGATCAACTTTCAAAAGTTTGAGCCAAAAAGCTGAATTTATTAACACATATCCCAGCATGTATAAAACTTTAGTTTGTGGTCTCGAATTTTGTGAACAAACACCGAGAAGTCTGAATATTTGAATCATTGTGTGATAAAGGTCAAACTCCTAATAGATATGTGACCCCCACTCTTTTCTGAGTTTTAATTCTAATTTTCTTGAAAGACTTACTCTAATTAATGTGCAATTGATTTTTGATGATTTAATTCAGACTAGTTCCGGAACCTCTTTATTGAATTTCCTCTTTTCTCTGTTAATTAGGAACTCAGAGCATTTAAATCCGATAACTGAGACTACATTATTTCGAGCCGTCTTTATTTCGTTTGACCACATTTGATTTTATGAGGACAATAGCCGATTTTGCAAACCAAATAATTGTAAGGCTACCGGTTTTAGCCAATTATTTTTACTTCATTTCCTCAAAAAATAAAAAATCGACTTTTTGTAGACATTCCCTTGTGATTGATTTATACTGAAGCTTAACTAACTCGATGTAATTTTTCAAATAATGGGGTAGATTAGTATTGACAATAGACAAGTTTCTCTTAATTTTTGTCTTTATGTTTGCTCTAGTTTTTATTTCTGAAAATCTTTACAGTCGCCGCGCGCCCGTTTAATGAAGTGCTTAAACGAGAGAAAGATTATTTTAGGCATTTTTGGCAGTTTGCGTGCAACTTGAAAGAGAACATTTTTAAAATAATTTCAAGGCATCTTGTTTGCGGTGATGGCGGGGAGGTGGAGGGGGAGGGGGAGGGGGAGAGGGAGGGGGAGGGGGAGTGTTGGGTTTTGGTCAGTTAATAGATGAAATTGAAGTTAAACGAAGCTGCTAAGTCGTGAAATGAGTGCAAATTAAATCAAGTCACATTAGCGCGACTGAATTAGGCGACTAAATGGTGGGCCGAGTTACTGTGAATGGAGCGGCAGAATAAGTTAAGTTAATAAAATTAGTTAAGGAAATTCTGCATTCATAGTCGTTCACTGATTGATTAGATTTAGCTATCATTTAACTTCACTTGTTACCCTGCGGGGGGCAGGCAGTGCAGGGCAATAAGGGATGAGGTCTCTCAAATAAGATGGGCAGCAGTCGCCTCTTGGCCTGAACTGGTGGATATGGAGGTGAAGTTGTGCTGCTAATAGACGTTTAGCAATCTAATTCACTTCTTGTTAGCCCTAATTGAAAGCTTTTTAAAGTGATTTAAACTGATAAGATAGACCTCTTTCCCCCTAATCAGACAAGGCTAGCCTCCAATCACTTTTTCTTATACCCAACTAACTTTAACTAACCTAACCCCCTAACCCTATTACCTGTTCGCCCCTCACCAACTTAACTTATTCTACTCCCTCCCCCCTTAATACGTTTCTTTTTTTGTTCAAAGCAAGAGTTCCGGGTAAAAATCGCCTGCTAGATATAACTACAATTTTCCTAAGTCAATCAACTAAGCACTTGTAGCTTGAAATATTAAACAATTGTCTTGTAAGGTATTTTTTGTAAGGTATTTGAAATATTAAACAATGTAAGGTATTTTTTCTGTCTAAAATCAGAGAACAAAAAATTAACTAAAAAATATTTGAGATTCGATGTGATTTTCTTTAAGTGCGTGGAAAAATAATTAAACTGAAAATATTTTTTGCTTCAATGCGCTATGACAATTTCGAAGATAATTTGTCATTTTTAGACTCTCAAAATAATTAAACTAGTAGCGCTTTGTTCAATTAAAACATCAGTTAAGCGTCAGTCGGTTTTACTCAATAAATTTCATTGGGCTAAAATTGAATTATTTTACTTTTTTCGCCTTGAAAGGCAGCTCGAAATTGGGAAATGAAATGTTTGCTAATTTTCCAAATGGAATCTTGCTTAAACGAGTTAATCAGGCAAATTAAAAGTATGTCATGCGACTTAAGAAACAAGAATATCGAATGGAAGCCTGCCTAAGTACTATAACCAAAAGACAGCTCATCAACAAAAGAGTAAACAACAACAACTAATAGATCGGAACGACCGGAGACAAAAACTGCGATTTTTAATATTGACGTGAACATTTTCAAAACAGTTTTATTCTCAAAAATCAGTCCGAACTTCAATTGAAAAATTTTAGGTTTAGTTGGAAGAAAATGTATATCAGTAAAAATGATTCAAATGTTTTTTTTTGCAAATTTTTCGGCTTTCTTTAATTACTCTCCACCCCCGTTATTGCAAACAGGAGGTAGTTGTATGGGGGGGGGGGGGGCACTGTTAAAAAGTTAAAAAATTCAAACACGCTCAACCATTGATTTAGTTATTTATAGCGGGAATATTAATTGTTCGATATCCGTCCTCATAAAACAAAAATTGAAGGCCACGAGAAGTTTTGCTATCTGAGTTGCAAGTAGAATTAAGAAGATAAAAGATCGATGCGATTACGATTCAAATGGCCAAAATGGTTTGTTTTCAATATTTCTTTTTCGGATTCTAGAAACTATTTATTTAAAGCCAGTTTCATTTGGAATAATTGAAGTTGACAATATGCTGCAGGTTTGGTTCCAAAACCGAAGAGCCAAATGGCGTAGACAGGAGAAATTGGAGCAGAACCATCTAAAACTCAACGCCGATTTCCCCCTCGCCTCTCTACGGGCTGCTTCTGCCGCCGCCGGAAACCCCTCCCTCCACGGCATGAACAAACTCCTCTGTTCCCCTTTGGACTCATGGCTCACCGCTACTTCTCCGGCGGCCCTGGCATCCCTGCAGCAAAGTCTGTTCCCGAACCCCTCTCTTCTCAACCTCCAGCCGAACTCGGTTTCATCTTCGATTTCGACGCCAAAGCACAATAACGCTACTTCGGATCCTTCGAACTTAGGACCGAACTCGACGTCTCCCAATTTTGATCTGACAGCGTGCTCTAATCTTTTCACGAGTGCATCCGCTACGCAACAGCAGCAAGCTGCGGCGTATCAGTTTCTAATGCAAAACTATAGCACCGCCCCGTTCTTTATGCCGAATGTTAACCCAATGGCTTCTTTGATCCCAGACTTCGGCAGTGATCTGCTCAGTAAATTTTCGGCCAATAGTACAAATTCGCCATTGCATGACGCTTTAACGATGAATCTTTTTACGAAAACGACGGAGTCTTCAGACGAAAACGAGAAAGAAAAAGAATGAATCTTTCAATGCAAAATAAAAATTAAATTAAATTTGTATCAATTATAATAGCTTCTTTTGTAACTTTGTTCGATATATGCAACAACTTCAGAAACTAATTAATCAATCGTGTCTAGAATTATATTTTTGAATTTTCATATTTTCCTTTGATCGGACAGGTTTTGTTCAGATTACGATTTTATAGGGCGAGAAGTGGTGAAATCAGTATGTATCCGCCTCTCAATCTAAAAGTTTGAGGCCACAATGATCCATGATCGTTGCTTGAGGTTGAGGCAGCATTACCCCGCCCAGATAGATAGCCAAGAAAGTTGCATGTAGATATTAACCAGATGCTTTTTTCTCTTGTGTATGAATCGCCTTGAATAAAAAGAAATTTTGAATAGAGTTCCAATTATACCGATTATACCCCTTTACACACTTGAAATCGAAAGTTCCAAACTTTAAAAACATTAAACTTTTTTTTATAAGACTCAGATTCAGTAGTGTGCAACGAAAACGAGTTATAGGGGAAAACGAGTTTTCGGGCAACGAAAACGGAATTATTGCTACTGGCCTGCTCGGATTGCTAGAATATCATCCACTAAAGTTTTTATTGTAGACAACGGAGATATTTAAAATTTACATTTCCCATGCAAACTTCACAATTTCATATTAAACAAAAAAAGACTAACTTTGAAAAGTTTTTAATAATGTTAGAGTTTGATCATTCTATGGAAGACGCAACTAATAACAATTAGATAAATATATAAGTCAACTCGAAAAGCGTTCGAAAACAATGATTAGAATAATTTGAGCTTGTCTATGCGGTATGCTCAGGAAGTATATTCTCGTTGCAGGCATCAAAAAATTCATGGCAAACCACTAACTTCAAAAAAAAGTCCCGAAGATTTGGATGATGTGAAACATCATCCGTTGTATCAATCAATTCTTGATGGGTTGTGAGGAACCAAAAGAAAAGATTGAATTAGTTGAGGCCAAGCATCCGACGCCAGAGTAACTATTAACAAAAGTTACTTCTTTGGAAGTGAACTTAAAATTCAAAGCTTTCACCTGATACCAGCAGTCTTGTTCTTTTTCACACAACTCACACTGTTTAAGGAGGAAGCGATCAGCAATTTAAAGACAACTCATTCCGATTTTTAAAATGGTTTCTATTTGATCAAAGGGAGGACGAGACCATCTCCTGATATAAACTTAGTGCATTATTCGAAGTGGACTTTGAATTGAATGAGTTTTTTTGCAAATGAGCAACATTTGAGACAACTTTTTTTAACACAAAAATGTGTAGAAAAAATGCTACGAGCAAACACTTTGATTATAAGATGATTTTGAAGCTAATTGGTCATAGTTAAAAGGTCAAAAAAATGTGCATAAATAATTATTTCCATTGACAAAATAATTGATCAAAAACCTTTAACTGATTCAAATGATCAATTTGTCATGATTAATCTTATTTATTTTACAGATACTGAGAATTTTTATATATTTTTTTTTTCAAAAACCTCAAAACAGTTTCAAAAAACCATTGTCAAAGTTTTTTCTCTTAAAATTTTACTCACTTTTAGTTTTGTTCTCGATAACTTCTTCTGGAATGAGTTGTCTATTTTTAAAACCGCAGTCCTTGGATTTTTTGCTGATATTTTTTTGTGAATTTTGAGACGTGAATTTTTTAACTCAAAATTGGTGCAAAAAACGCTTAAAATGAGTAAAAATTGAAAATAATAGATGATTTCTGGGCTGATGGGTCAATGTTTGATGTATAAGTTTAATCAATACAAATACACTGTTGCCGAGATTCTAAAAAAAACAGACAAATCAATAACTGCACTTTCTAAACAGACTGAAATAAATATTTAGCAAACTCAGTCATAGTTAAAAGGTTAGGCATCAGAACAACGAGCAAAAATTAGGGAAGTTACGTTTAGATTTTCTCTGGTAAGCATCCAGAAATTTTGGGGACTCAACTGTCATACTTGCACCCAGTTCAGTTTTAATTTTAGTTGTCTTGTTTTAAAATTACAACTAGGTCAATTATTGCAACAATTGTGCTTTTATTGTAGTAATTCCCTTTTGTAATAGCGGCGGACACTAATACCAGGTGTTCTACAATCCCGAAAGCGTTATGTTGATGGTCAGACTAAGTTACTAGAAGCTAATCTTGTTCTACTTAAGGATAGGCTACCCGCAACTTTTTCGCTAAGTCTTCCTATTTGAGTTTCAGTTATACTTTTGCTCGTCCCCATATGTCCTGACATTTGCTTTGTTATAAAAATTCTATATTCCCAGTTCATTATAAGCATATCTAGCTAAGTTATTCAATTATCAAGTCCAATTTCACCTCTTAATCAAATAAAGTTTAACTAGCCAGTCTCCCAAGATTTTGTTGAAAATCTCCATTAAAGTTCCGACCTCCCGGGGGTAGGGGTAGACCCTTTGTATGAGTCGCTAAATCATTCCATGCGTCTAAAATTCTGATTTTTATTAAATTCCAATCCAGATCTTCTAGCTATCAGTGGAACGTAATTTGCTTATAAGGGGCCAAACTGGTTAAATTGCGCCTAAAAGCCACCTCAGAGAGCTAGAACTAGGTAAATATACCGCCCATTCAGATTAATAAGGCGACCTATTTCCATGCTATACACCTATCACTGCCAGTTTCCCCTGCGACTACTTTTCTTCATATGGTTGATATTCTATGAAAGTGCATTCACCAGCAAGGCTAAAACCAATGTTTGTCAAATCCAATTTAATTAGTTCAACTACAATATGAAGCTATATCCCTTTCAGCTTTTGCTTCAATTCCCAATAAGTAAGGCCCCCTTCCCCCCAAACTTTCAGAAGGTGATCGGTTCTCAATTCAAATGGTTGTGGCCGGGGAATGCTCCACCATCCCAATTTTTCTACACACTTTTGGTCCTAAAATACCTACCAAGTTTCATCCATATCCCATTAGTAATTCCCATGTTAACCCATTTCTAAATTCCAATTTCAATCTTCTCGGGAAAAAATTATTAACACCTGAAGGAGTCGCCGGAGGAGTTTCATTCAGAAAGGGTTTTTTCGGGGCTGGTGTACAGTGTATATTGGCGCCATAAAACCAATTCTCCGTGAAAACATTTTGCGTAAATAGCCTTCATCTGGTATAAGGGATGTTTCTCCCTAACGCTATTAAATTCCGGTCCATCTGACGGCTTTGGTTCAAAATATAACAGACGATGTTTCTTGCCACATTTGATATCCCAAAATTTTGGCACCCTGCGCTCAATAAGAGCCGGGAAACGACCTCCGGAAGTCGTGGTGGAGATTATTTGCTAAGGACATAACACCGTAAGTAGGGGTCCAGGGGGTCTGGGGTTCGAAACTTAAGCTTTCGTCAACAAGCTCTATCACCTACCAAGTTTTGGTCCCCTTCCAATCGCGAGTTGCGGAGTTCTTATAGGGCTATTTGCACTACCGGTAACCGTTATCACCCGAGAAAGGGATCAACTAGGTGTCTGGATTTTTGCATGCCTGTGTCGAATCATCTCTAGTTTCCGGCCTTTTAATTTCATAAAGTTAGCTTCCTTAGTTCCAATTAGAGGGGTAGACTAAATTAATACCGTCTTAAAAATTTCACCAGATGATGAACTAATTCTTTCGAGGATCAAAATACTTTGATATTGTTCATTTATTTGCTTTTTACTTATCATATTGGTTAGTCAAAGGCCAGCTGTCTAATTTTCAGTACCTGTCAATATCGCGCAGCGTTTAGTCATAATCATTCACATGGACTACAAAGCCTATAATGAATTTTTTGATTACCATAATGGAACTTACGAGGTCGAGAGGTTCTTCCCCTAAACTAAATGAAACGCAGCGGTAAGCTTTCCGCCGGAAAGTTTCTAAGTTCAGAGCTAGACGCCGGAAAGTCTACCGAAACGAGAAGGGAGCTTCACACGACCAGAACTTTGATTCGAAACTCAAGGAGGTGCATGCAGTCACGTTGAGCCATCGGGGAGGCTACCACTGACTGGAGCGGGAAGTCCGCGCCAGGTACCCTGTACAGTACTTGCGTCAGCAATTTCAGGCCCTTTGCATTGGCTGCGAGGACTGAGATGAAAACGGCAAGACAATTGTTAACGATAGGCCGATGATTCACCTATCGCCGGAGACACGAGTTCGCATTTGTCGGCGGCTGAGGCTGACGATAGGAAACATCTCCGTTACCTCGGAGGCTTGTCCCGAAACGAGCTGGTGGCCTTAGAGTGCCATCGCCCTGGGTCCAACTACTTGCTTGATTGCATCCATCACCTTCTTATCGGACTACTAACCGAGCGACAAGGCTTCAAGAGTTGCTCGCGGAACAGCGACGGGAGTAACTTGCCCAATATTAGTCAGTGTTACCGCCGTTCGATCCCTGTCAGAGTGTCAACCAACGCGGAATCCTTTAATCCGTCCTCCACATTTGTCCAAAAAGCTACGAGGCCACATCTACGAATATCGCCGGTTAAGTGAAATTACATCGCTGGGCTAACGTGTAGTCGGTCCTGGTCGGAAGCCATTTACCTACTGTATGAGTTTCGTTTGGGGAAGGGCACCATCTTTTTCTTAAGAGTCTACGTTCAAAAACTACCTAATTAAATCTAGAATTAAAAACCCTATTTGATTAATGATTAATTTCTATTGATTGATTGTTGGATAAAAATCATTTGTCCTTTTACGGGCTTTTTTCTTCCATTTAACAAAAAGCATCAGTAACAAGAGGGGTTGGTTTTTTTACCCCACTTTACTTTATTATCAGTTTTATGGAGTAACGAGAGCTTTTACAATTATAAGTATGGAGATGAAATGTTGATAATTTTGTTATTCCGTGCTGCGTGATGCGAAGTTTTTTTTTATGATTTCTGCGACATTGAAAGCTAATTTGAACAACGTGTTCCTTTTAGATTTTCTCATGACTCCTAATCTACGTTTGCGCATTTGTATTAACTTTTCTACTACCTCTATTGATCTATGATCGTCTACAGGTGCAAAAAGTAATTTTATGTTGTTTGATTTGCAAAAAACTTGAAACTACTCAGCTTGAAATGTTTGTGCCTGGCCGCTTTTTAATTTGCGTAGTACCC